CCATTTGTAATCTTATGTTCACTGTTCATTTTTTATAAATATAGGCTTTGTATTAAATCTATATTCATTCATATATTCAAATCGAAATCTAATCGAATTGAGAGCTTGAAAATCGAAATCGAATCGAATTGGAACATCTGAATCGATACTCAGCCCTAACTAAGTGTATAACGTGTCATGGTTGAAGCGGGCAATCACAGGCTTCGTTGCATCGGATATGCACTGAGAGAAATTAATTAGTTTGGTATTTCAATATTTTCCTAAAATCATGTATCATTTATGCCATTTGGAATGCCGTACATATTGGACACACAAAGCTCAATGCCAGACGGCTGCTTTCAAACGCTCACATGCGCTTTTGTGTGCATTCGTTCCAAAGAGCATGCAGCTGTGCGTAACTCCAAGTTAAATGCACTTGCATCTTAAAACGCTTTTATGATGCGAAATTAATGTAAACAGTCAGTTTCATTTTAAGTAGAGGACAAAACATCTGATATGTTAAAACAGATCTGTGCATTAGTGTGAATGCAGCCTAGTTTAGCCTGTATTAGACTTGCCGCTGTCAAAAATATCACTAGTAATATAGTTTATATTTGTTTGTATGTTTTGAAGCTATATTCAGCTAATTATAATTAACATACAATTGTTTTGATTTATTTTAATGATTTGATTTGAAACCAAACAAACTTGGAATTATTTTAAAAAGTACTAAAGCAGTCCGGTGCCTTATTTTAAATCACAAATGTATGTTATAAAGTTGAAAGGTTTGTTTGTGCATCTTTGCATTTGCACATTTTATTTTAATAAAAATGCACAAATAAATCTGATATATCTCTGATATAAGATGAAAAATGTAGATGAAAAATCATTTTGGGATCAAATTATGAGGTGCCTTAAAGTGCATATTGCAGGTTAGAGACCCAGAGAGTCAATGTATAGTCGTTCTAAAATAAGAACCAAAGCACGATTCGCTATTAAGGATGATTTATACTTCTGCATCGGACCTACGCCGTAGGCTAAGCGTCAGTTTTCATTTATACTTCTGCGTCGTTGTCCGCATCAACG